ATTGTCCTCCTGAAAGGACGAGAAGAAGAAGAAGAAATACTCAGTGGCCTACGAGAGCTCATCATTGGCCTGGAGCTCGGTGACTCAAGGGAGCTGATCTCCTCCACCCTCTGCGTCTCACACAGAACCGACATCAGAGATCCAGTCAAGTACTACGGAGTCTCCATCGCCGCTCCCAGTTTCAATCCTCAGCCCTTAGTGCTCCTAAGAAGAGGTCCCTTTCCTCGGCGATTCGTCATCGCGGCGTCCTGTCTCTACTACTGGGACGAGTATGTAGCTGGTGCAGTGCTCACCTACTATCCAACCAGGCAAAAGAAACCAGATTATGATGGAACCATCCAGCTTCCACAGTGGGTGAGGTGCCAGGCGTTTAGCCTCAGCCAGGAAGAAGAAACTCCTCCGTGCCTCTCATGTAGCAATTTGTTTGGTTTGTGGACAAACTCTAATGATGAGTGGGTCTACGGCAACTGTGGCGAGGTTGAAAGTTTGAGCAACTTGTTCGAAAAGGAGGGTGACGTCAAAGAGCGAGCACAACCAACATCTCCCTTGTACTCAGATGAGAGGAGGGACCACTATAAAAGGGAAATGTGTAAAGATCTGATAAATTGCCTGAAAGAAAAGAAATTTACCTGGAGGGAGGGAGATTTCTACAGCCCCCCTAAAAGGGAGAATGATAAATATCCTGTTGATGAGAAGGCCAACAATTCTTAGGATGATTACTTTTGATGGTTATTCCCCATAAAACAATGATGATCTCCCTGCATCGACAGTTACTGGGGAGCTGGTGGTTCAACGCTTGTTGTTAATGATCCAGGTACTTAATTATGATAAAGATATGAATGCAAAGCAGGCAGAAGATATAAAGAGTTGATGCATTGATCATTTAAGTCACAATAAATTCATAAAGATTGCTCATTTGTTTTGTTTTTATTTACTCATCAGAAGAAGTGATTCTTTGCCATTTAACGCAGCACGTAGCCGGTGGCAGACGACTTCTGGGGGGTCAGTTTAGAGTCCACAAAGAGGATCATTAATATCACCAGGGAGTATTTTCAACAGAAGAACATGTTCAGCTTTACGGATGCTGTGTTCACCACATACGTTACTTCACATTAAAAAAATAACAGCAGGTTTCCGTTTTTCTGTTCTTTGGCCGTTTAAAATACGGTTAATTTAGAACAGGAAAAGAAATGAACTCACCCTGAATTAAAATAAGGGGTGCATTTTTTCAGAAGCACAAATTCCTCACTTTCAGTAGATATTAGTACTTTACCTTATTTGTTGAGGGTTCTTCACAAAAAAAGAAAGTAAATTACTGTAAAGTTCATCTTTAGCCTGCGCATATAAAGCAGAAAGGACGTCACAGCTTCCGCCTGGCGCAGATACGGCTTCCGCTCACACGCTGCGCATGCGCAGTCTTTCCTGGTTTTAAACGATCACTCACGCGTCTTATTAAAGCCACTGGGTATTAAAACGTTCCAATGTTTGGAAGTTTCGGTCAAATTACACTCAACAGTGTGTAACGTGAATGTAAAACATCCACCAGGACCCCGTATTACACTTCTGCGTCACATTCTCTTTTGCTGTCAAGGACGTGGTGAAATATCGGAAATAAGTACGAGCTGTTTTTCAGAGTGGCACACTGACGCAGAATCCAACTCTTCAGTCCTTCTAGTTAAATTGTTGAGTGTTTTATTTATTACGTGATACACATACCGTGGCAACTGGAGTACAACAAGTAGTGTGTATGGTCTAGACAAGTGACATAAAAGAATGGAGAGTGATTTTACATGACTTACAATAAACTGCATTTCAACCATAGGTGCATTTTAACCGTAAACAACCAGATCTACGGGCTAAATAAATGTATTTAAATGTGAAACGTCGAAGGCTTTGGCATCTTCTGTAATAAAGGGAAATTTACAATTGATTAGAAAAACAGAGTTCCTGTAATTTTCCGCGTTATGCCCTTGTAATTCCGATGCGCACTTGAACGCAGCACACGGGTTTAAGGGCGGTGTCGCAATAGCGAATGCTCACTTCCGGTCTAGCAGCGATGGAGAAAACCCCGTCCTTAAACCAGGTACCAAGTCTACTCTTATTTCAATAAATGTAATACATGTTTAATCTTAAAGGATTCCTCTCACCCTTTTGATCAATATGTATCATTTTTTTCCGGTCTGTTAAAACAACTTCGTCACGTTATCGACCATAATAAAACAACATGGTTACTTTCTGTTTTGTAAACATTGTTTTCCGGTGAAATCATTTTAATATTTGCGTGTACTTTTCAGATTGGATAGGTTTAAGATTAGTGAGGAGAATAAAAGCGACCGTGGGGAAAGGCCCGAGTATTTTCCAGTTGAGTCATCTGTTCTTGTGATCACACAAAGGGCGAAGCCGAGTTCTTACAACGCTGTTATTCTACGTGCGAATCCAGAAATGTTCCGTATCTGTATCTGCTAAAATTTAGCAGATACAGATACGGAACATTTCACATATGTCAGAGTCAAGGCCCGCGGGCCACATCCGGCCCGCGAGAAGGTTTTTTACGGCCCCTGGGATGATCTTGATTTATTATTAGAACCGGCCCGCAGCCCGCAGATCTTTTACACGCACCAGTACTACATTTCCCACAATGCAACGGTGACGCACCGAGCAGTAGGCTGCTTCATTTCAATATTTATTGGCACAGCAGTGGTCAGCATCACAGTAAAATTAACTTTCAGATACCCATCAAAAATGGCAAAACGGAAGGTGGACACTGAGAACCGGGGGTTTCAAACAAGGTGGGAGTCGGAGTATTTGTTCACGGAGGTAGCTGGAAAACCTGTGTGTCTTCTGTGTGGAGAAAGTGTGGCGGTACTGAAAGAGTATAATCTGCGTTCCCGAGCGCACAGTTGGCTGATAAAATAGGTATGCTTGCCGCTGACTTTCGACGCCGATTTGCTGACTTTGAAGCACAAAAAAGCAGGTTGGAACTGCTCGGTAACCCATTTGCTGTTGACGTGGAAAGCTCACCACCAAACCTCCAAATGGAGTTGATTGACCTCCAATGCAATGATGCACTGAGGCAAAATATGCGGCAGTGGTGCTGCAGAGTTCGCCCGTTTCCTCCCCGACACAATGCCCCAGCTGCGCATCCAGGCTGCTCAAACGTTGTCTATGTTTGGCAGCACATACCTGTGTGAACAACTGTTTTCTTTGATGAACTTGAACAAAACATCACACAGAAGTCGACTTACTGCTGAACACCTCCACTCAATTCTGAGGATTTCCTCAGCTCAGAGCCTTACCCCGAACATTGATGAACTTGTGGAAAAGATGGGACACCACCAAGTATCACCCTCAACCTCAAACAAGTGAACATTACTGTGCAATCACATATTTAGAGTTTTTACTCAGTTCAAGTTTAAAAGTTAAAGTTTAATATTTGTTTTCACTGCATGTTACTTCTCCTTAAACAAAGTGTTGTTTTTGATTAATAGATTTTTGCACTTTATTTTATTGTATTTCAATCCAATTATATTTTAAAAATATTTCAGTTGAGTGGATGATAGAAAATTGCTATTGTTTTTTTCTTTGAAGTAAATTTAGCCCACTTTTGCCAAAATAGAAAATATAGGCTACTGATGGTGCCTTGAATACCGGTTTCTTTCATTTAATGTTCATGTTATGGGGATTTTTATATAAAGGAAATTTGTCTTTTGTGTCTGTTGAAAATTAAAGATTACTGACAGAGCCATAAGAAAATATTGCTTTATTTATCTGATCATATTGGAATATATTTGTTAGGTTTTCAGTAGGTTCAATTAGGTTCACTAGACTATATGCGTCATTTAAAAATTTTTCAATGAACATTCAAACAGTCCGGCCCTCGGCTTGTAGCTAAATTTTTTATTTGGCCCTCCGTCCATTTGACTTTGACACCCCTGTGCTAAATGATGTGGCCAAATTGGTAAATTTGTTTGTACTTTTTGCATGACGTCATATGATGGGGAAAAAATCAAGTCCGTATATGGTTGATTTTTCTACCAACTGGTATATTTTCTTCTTAGGGATGCATTATATTATTTAGCGTTTCCCCCGTGCTGTTCCTTTACCGTCTTATTTTGTTGTTTACTCGAGTACTACTGAGAACTACTTTTAACATGTATTATTTTGTTCTCTAAGTGCAGAGGAATGGCGGCTGTTCCAGTAAGCTCTCCGTAAGAACCAGTTTTTTATTTTTTATATGTGTATCATTAATAATTATCGAGCCCATGTTGACATATATAATGAAATGAGAAGCCTCCAACAGTGTAAATGTGTGGATCTAAGAAGACGCCAAGCAACACGATCTGGACAATGTTCACATTTCTTCTGTGGAAACGTATGAAAATAAAAGATTCGTGTTAATATCAGTCGGTTATTTCAAATTATTTTTGCCCTGTAACCAGGACAGCATTATGCTACTTTTCTTGTATATTCTCTCCATTTTTACTAGAAAATATTCTTCTCCATATGGTCCAGTAAATACTGCCGTGATTAACAACGTCTATATTACTTCTGTTCTTTTTTCTGACTCGCAGGTTTTGGGGTTTAGGGATTCAGCACGGCAAAGAGGAGAAAGGACAGAAAGGTAGACTGCACACACCTTTGCTTCACACGTTGTACAATCTTCCTATGATGAGTATTTTCCAAATTGAATCAATACTTTTGGCATGTGTTGCAGATCCAGGCTATCTGTCATCAATGTTTGACTATGTGTTGGGGCACAAAAATGAGAGGATCCCCTTGAAGAACCCAGCTGATGCCACTTTGACAATTGGAAACGTCGATGAAACCATCTACAGAGGGAAGATGGACGTGCTGAATGGGTGGAACAAATTTTACCTTCCAGATATCGTAAGCATGCAGGTCTTGGGCGTAGTGACGGGGACTTCGTGCCCGGGGGACCATCTCGTTCTGATGACCTGTGAGGACGAACAGCTGTACGCCTACGATGGAGAGGAGCTGCATTTGGTGGCTGTAAGCGTGAAGCAGCTACGCAACAAGGGAATCGAGTATCCAGCAGACAAGTCGTACTACAAAGGAGAGGCCTTCCCAAACACGGTGAGAAGTTACAGTGATGTGCTACGAACAAATGAGTGATTCTGCACCCTGATGATTGGTCACCTGTGTGCACTGAGAATGTTTTCATATTTTAATATCGTCTTGTGTGTGTAACTCGGACTAAGGACTGGGAGGAAGTGAGGAAGAGCGCTGTTGGGAGGCGATTGGACCAAGAGCATCGAGAACTGGTGACCGCAAAAACGCCAGAATTCATGCAGAATCTCAGATCCATCCAAACAGGTAGTTTAGTCTGTGCTGCAAAGTAAAGATAAAAATAGTAGTTTTTCTGTTCTGCGTGTATCGATATCTCACATCAACCCACTCATACCTTTTCACGGCCTTTTCTCAATTTGCGTTCTTGTCTGGACGTGATCAGCCAGATCCAATTCTAAAGTCTGCGTCTCGCCAAGGATGCTCAAAATACCTATTGTGACTCACCCCGCCCATTAGAGGAGACTCGTCTTTGTGAGAGCAAAATATCCCAGAATGCATTTCACCTCAGCAACAGGCAACAATGGCAGAGGAGAGTAAACACAACTGTCACTCAATGGAATTTTAGGACTTTTTCAGAGCAGAAGTTAGTCACTTAAGCAACACTATTGTTGTCAGTGTGTCAACATTGAGCCTTCTATTAGCTCCAGGATGTGGGAGATGTGAGGTGTAGTTAACGGGACCGTCAGACCCCTCAGCCTCATCTCACCCCGCAGAGAGCAGCCTGCTCCGCTGGTGTTCACGTCTCCGTTATACATGAGATATAACTAGGCTTGTGTGTTCATAACCTTTAATTTATTCAGTTACGTTGATAAAAACCTAATGTTTTAATTGTACCTTAACGTCTTGTCTGTATCCACATCCAGGCTTGTTATTGTTTATCATTGTGCATTAAAACTAACAATGTTTGAATCAAAGGACATGAGGAGACCCGGGCAGTCATCAAGACTCTCGCAGCAGGACGGCAGCTTAAAAAGGACTCTGGACTGTAACAATGATAAAGCAGCGATGGACGGGTGCGCACGTCGGGACACCGGCCGGACGGCTACAAGCGCGGGCAAGAACACATGCGGGAGTCTGCCAAAGCATCCGCGATGTCTAGTTGGTGTTGTCTAGTTAGATAAAGTCAGTGAGTTGGAGAATAATCCGAAAATATTTAAAACTACGAATAAATTAATCAAGCACATAATCTATTTTTCTTAATTGTTTGACAATGTACAAGTTCAAGACAAATATACTGAGGTTAATTACTATATTCAGATCATAAGAGAGAAAAATATAGAGGGACAATTAGTAGAAATGTCAATAACTGCCTGAAGCCCAAGAAAGTAGTTTGATAATCAAAAGTTATTTTCATGGGCTTAGTTGGGGGTTCGCTGTCTTGTCTTGATTTAAGAGTTAGGTAAGGGGGAAGCAGGATGTGCCAAGCAGGCAGACACGAGTCTGACAGGATGGGGAGTCAGTTTATGTCCTGGCTGAGGAATGTAAGGTCTGCGGGTCAACTAGAAGATTTACCAGCCAAAGGGGGGTTAGAGACACACCAACACTATTCAACATACACACTCTGTTTACGATGTTTACGTTAAGTCAGGAGTCTGGACATTGGATGTGACCGGATCTTAGATGCGGGAGGTGGAAGGTCCTCCTCTACGCCAGTTTAGGGCCAATAGAAATATTTCCTTCTCTGTCTTTCAAGGGTTATAAAACATGATGTTCTTGCTGATGTTAGTTAGTTGTTCTTCCGGCCTGTGTGCTGCCTGAACTGCTCCTGCCTTTGCAAACGCAGCGCTGATACTTGACCTGTGATCTGACAAATAAATTTTCCAGAACGAGAGAAGTCATTCGGCTGAATTTTTGATAACCCCGACCAGGCTCCAAATCTTGAACACGTATTCTTACAGGTTGAATGGCTGCCAACTGTCTGAATGTCACTGTCACTTTTCACTCGTCACTTTTGTCACTTCCTGTTCGCTAGTGCACTTTATTTTAATATTGTTTAACTTTTATTCGTATTCTTTTATTTTAAACTAACTCATAGCATTACGTTTTAATTTTACTACTCATGCACTGTTATCGTCTATTGTTGTACTGTCTACTGTTACGCACCAACCGCCATATCAAATTCCTTGTATGTCTGACATATTATGGCAATAAATGTTTCCTGATTCCTCCATTTATTGCTGTTGATTGTTTTACCCTGTAAAGCACTTTGGCTGGCCATTGGCCTTTAAAAGTGCTATATAAATAAATATATAAATAAAGTTGACATTGACATAAAGATTGCTGATTTGTTTTGGTTTTTACTCACCAGAAGTGATTCTTTGCCATTCAATACTGTCTGGTCTTGCAAAGAGGCAGAAAGTGGTGGAATTTCCACAGGAATTTTTGGCTCGGGAATTTTGAAAAAAGTGCCAAAGCTTTTTTGCAAAAGTACATAACGGGGAACTTAAATGTAGTTGAGTCCTAGCTCCGCTGGACCCTGGATGCAGCTGGTTGGGAACATTGTCTTCCAGAAACATCCACGTAAAACGTTCTTTGTCATTATGGAGCATATTGATTATTTGGTGAAGTCATGTTCATTTTAATATCAAGTTTATTTGTATACAGTAGACTAACGTTTTACAGCAGTGAGAGTAGAATGTATGTATCTCCACACAAAATTACACCATCACCTCGACTATTCACTTTCGGGGTCCATCAAAAAGCGCAAGTTGGGCAACTTATCACACTACATCAGGGCTATTGAGGCCACACTACTGCATTTGAGCACAAGTTTGGAAGATATTACTGGGGTTAATATATTATTGATAAGACAAGCTGCTAGTCATTAACAAACTGACATCTTATTGTTTCAGTTTTGAGGTACTGGCTGTGTTCAAAAACTCTTAACAGTAAGATAGCTGTCTTACTACCTTGATGTCTCGTCAAGGTGTCTGACTCATGGGTGAAGCCATCACAAAAAAACGTTTTCGTCTTTTAAGATAGTTGCGTAGATGATAACGTGTGCCGTTGGTGCGCTGAAAACACTAGGCTATCTAACGTCGGCTAACGTGCTAATGTTAGAAATTTGGCTGACTGAGGCCTCGCAAATCACAATTTTCAAGTAGGAGGTTTAACAAACTCTGAGTCAAACCCTCAACTCTGAGTTTATTTACCCTGAGATGGGAAACTGAGTTTTGGTTTCAGAACAGCGTAAGATTGGCGCTCTTCAACACCCGCCCTCTTTGCGCTTCCGCCTTCCGGTGTAACTGAGATGCCTTCCGTATGCCAGTGAGATTTCACTCACACACCAGTGAGATGCGCATGAGTGTTTCGAGTATTAGTACGCTTAAGAGTGTCTCAGTAGTTAAGTCCTAAACGGCCCCTCATACGACCAGGTGATGTTCACAGGCTCAGTTACCATGGTGACTGACCCTGAGCTTTAGTTACCTCCCTTTGTGAAACAGACAAGCCAGAGTTTCCTTCATCTCAGGGTTAACAAACTCTGAGTTTCCACTAAACCTGCTTCTTGAAACGGACCCCTGGATAATGTTCACATTTCTTCTGTGGAAATGTATGAAGATAACAAGACACAATTTGACAGGACAATCTTTTATGTTTTGCATTTGGCAAGATTCATGTTGATATCAATAGATAGATAGATAGATACTTTATTGATCCCTCAAGAGGGAAATTTGGGTATCACAGCAGCATGTATAGGGAAGAAAATAGAATAAAAAGATACACATTATATACAATATAATAAGATAGAAATATTAAATTATTAAATTAAATTAAATAAACTAAAACTGAAACAAAACAATAACAATAGTTACTTCTCATGATTTGTACCATCCAATAATTCCCGTTGATAGTAGCATAGTTCCAGGGGCACTCCGGTCAACATAAGAATAAAGTGAAATTGAAAGCACTCAACTTTGCCATTTTGTTGATGTCACTAAGGGGATTCTTCAACTGTTATGCCCTGTAACCAGAACACCATCATGCCACTTCTCTTCTATATTCTGTCCATTGTTCCTACAAAATATTCTCAATATGGTCCAGTAAATACTGTCGTGGGTACCGACGCTTATTTTAGTTCTGTTCTTCACTTGACTGCAGGTCTGCAGATCAGCTGTTTACTGATCTTTTGACCCTGACAAAAGGACAGAAAGGTAAACTGCTCACACGCTTGCTTCACACGTTGTGCAGTCTTACTATGATGAGTATTTTCCAAATTGAATCAATACTTTTGACATGTGTTGCAGATCCAGGCTACTCATTATTGATATTGAAGTTTGTGTACGAACACAGAGATGAAAGACTCTTTTAAAGATGCATAGAATATGTTACAGGCTATAATGACTCTACATTGTTGCATTTCACAATTAAAGCATGACTCAGTAAATTTGTGATTGCTTGCAGATTGTCCTCCTGAAAGAACGAGAAGGAGAAGGAGAAGTAGAAATACTCAGTGGCCTACGAGAGCTCATCCTTGGCCTGAAGCTTGGTAACTCAAGGGAGCTGATCTCCTCCACCCTCTGCGTCTCGCACAGAACCGACATCGATGATCCAGACAAGTACTACGGAGTCTCCATGGCCGCTCCCAGTGCTATTGCTCCCAAAAAAAAAAGTCCCTTTCCTCGGCGATTCGTCATCGCGGCGTCCTGTCTCTACTACTGGGACGACTATGTAGCTGGTGCAGTGCTCACCTACTATTCAAAAAAGGAAAAGAAACCAGATTTATGATGGAACCATCCAGCTTCCCAAGTTGGTGAGGTGCCAGGCGTTTAGCCTCAGCCAGGAAAAAGAAACTCCTCCGTGCCGCTCATGTAGCAATTTGTTTGGTTTGACAACAGACTCTAAGGCTGTGTCGACCTACGGCAACTGTGCCGAGTCTGAAAGTTTGAGCAACTTGTTCAAAACGGAGGGTGAGGTCAGACAGCAAGTACGACTAACATCTCCCGAGTACTCAGATCAGAGGAGGGACCACTACATCTGATAAATTGCCTGATACACAAGGAATTTACCTGGAGGGAGGGAGATTTCTACATCCCCTCTTAAAAGGGAGAATGATACATATCTTGTTGATGAGAAGGCCAACAATTCTTAGGATGATTACTTTTGATGGGGTTATTCCCCATAAAACAATGATGATCTCCCTGCTTCGACAGTTACTGGGGAGCTGGTGGTTCAACGCTTGTTGTTAATGATCCAGGTACTTAATTATGATAAAGATATGAATGCAAAGCAGGCAGAAGATATAAAGAGTTGATGCATTGATCATTTAAGTCACAATAAATTCATAAAGATTGCTCATTTGTTTTGTTTTTATTTACTCGTCGGAAGAAGTGATTCTTTGCCATTTAACGCAGCACGTAGCCGGTGGCAGCCGACTTCTGGGGGGTCAGTTTAGAGTCCACAAAGAGGATCATTAATATCACCAGGGAGTATTTTCAACAGAAGAACATGTTCAGCTTTACGGATGCTGTGTTCACCACATACGTTACTTCACATTAAAAGAATAACAGCAAGTTTCCGTTTTTCTGTTCATTAGCCATTTAAAATACGGTTAATTTAGAACAGGAAAAGAAATGAACTCACCCTGAATTAAAATAAGGGCTGCATTTTTTCGGAAGCACAAATTCCTCACTTTCAGTAGATATTAGTACTTTACCGTATTTGTTGAGGGTTCTTCACAAAAGAAGAAAGTAAATTACTGTAAAGTTCATCTTTAGCCTGCACATATAATAGAATGAAAAATTATGTTAATTAATTAACTATAAATATTATTTCCTACATCATTCAGAAGGATGATTAGCATAAACCACTAAAAGCTCACTTCCTGTTTGGCTGAGTGGTGTTGATTCCAGGCCACAGACCTCATATAATATATCATAAAGTTAATCCAAAGGCTACAAATACAGGAAACAGTTCAAGGATAAACACGATTTGTAAATAGGATCATTGG